GGGCCAGATGTGGGCCGGATCTGGGCCGAAACTGTCTGCTGTCTGGGTACCTAACTCTGCTATCAGTTTCCGTGACCGGCATCTTCTTATTGATTTCATGTTATTGTTAATGTTACGGCTTATATCCATGATGAAAGTGGAGCGAGCAGTCGGAGAATCGGATCACCAAACAATTACGCGATAAATCTCAGACATATCCGGACGGGATTAGATTTCTCAGAGGACGTCTGAGTTGCCTGAAAAGCAGTAATTATCTGATTCACGAACAAATGTAAAAACAATTCGTTAGTCAACTGGGCCTAGCTTTGCGGTTTTGACTCAAAAAGATCCGGTTCATAAGAGTCATTTGTTAATGAAGCCGACTACGTTGGGACGCTGCGTGCGCATGCAACCATCGTGCAGTTTATTAAAAGACGTGTTTTGGCCATTATTTTGCGTTACTCTGTCATCGCCGCGGCTGAAAAGTAGCACACGAAACACTGCTTACATTTATGTTTTATTCCTTGATAATTCTGGGGTGGCAGGTGGGCAGTTGCCACCCCGTGCCACCCCGGTAGATCCGCCCCTGATTATGAGCTCACGGTCACTGTTTCCATAAAGCGCACTTCATGCACGTCAAGTTGTGAAACGGCATTTTTTGTGGCCAGATGTTCCACCGTTCCTATTTTGAGTTTTATTAGTGTCAGTGGGCTCTGTTGGAGTCTGTGACACACGAGCAGAAAGAAGTCCTGATTTAAATGCGTCTCACATCTGTGTAGCTCAGCAGTAGGCTAAGAAACTAGAGCGCCGCGCGCTACCTGCGGTGTGTGGAGACAGAGGTGCGCTGGGCGTTTGCCATCATCTGAGGGGAGGGCGGAACTTCACTTAAATACTGGAGACATCACAGTGCCATTCTCACAGCATCGGTCTCACAGCATCAGCGCCTGACACGGAGAAAACATGGCAAACGCGTACCTGCAAGGAGTAGAGATCTCAGCATCTCAGTTCCTGGATATATTCCATCATTATGACAACGATGGTAATTTCTTTCCTTATTTTGTGGATTTCATGAAAAAAAAAAAACATTTTTGGGGAAGAAAAAAAATATTGGGATTATTCTTGCCACCTGCTTTGCAACTGGTTTCCAAAAGTTTAGTTAAAATTATTTGTCTGATTTACCTTACCTAACAGACTTTTATTAACCTTTGAGGATATCAAAATTTGACAAAAAAAATAAAAAATAGATTGTTAGTCATTTCAGATGGTTTTAAAATATACTTTTTGGCATACTCATCTCATCTGAATTGAAACTGTGTTGTGTCATTGACTTGGGGTGTAAATGCTCTCAGGCAATGGATATATCGAGGGGAAGGAGTTGCAGAATTTTATCAGAGAACTTCAACAAGCTCGAAAACAAGCAGGACTGGTAAGTCACACAGTTTTCTTCAATCTTCTGCTGCATATTGGTATAAGCAATCAGGCTGGAATTTATGGGACACATCCCAAGAAGATATTATGTTGATAACCCAATATAATAATAATAATAATAGTAGTAGTAGTAGTATAACTAAATAAAGCTGTCATAACTAAATAAAGCTGTCAGTATCAATTATTGGGGACCAAGCTAAAAATCATTTCAGAGAAAATGACAAAATTTTCAAATCTTTTTTTTTTTCTTTATTTTTTTTAAAGTATTTTGCACAGGTTTAAAAATTATCTTCAAATGTAAAATTAAGTTATAAATATAGACACACACACACACACACGTTTTGTTTAAAGGTGACATATTATGCCCCTTTTTACAATATGTAATATAAGTCTCTGGTGTCCCCAGTATGTGTCTGTGAAGTTTCAGCTCAAAATACTCCACAGATCATTAAATATATATAATTTTGAAAATGCCTATTTTGAGTGGAAGCAGAAACAAGCTGTTTTTGGGCCTGTGTCTTTAAATGCAAATGAGCTGCTGCTCCCCGCCCCCTTTTCCAGAATAGGGCTGGGTCTTTACAGCTGGTATCTGCTAAACATATCTGTTTTGGTTCTGATTATCATGTTTATCGCGCTGAAATCATGCGTTTTAAACCACATGAGTTTAAACTTCAGATATAAGGTTTTTTGAGCGCACACATCCGAAGCACATGGACAGAAAGCTGCTGTCACAGCATGCGAGTACTAAACTAAGTTCTCATTCACACTAGGCCTGTCACGATAACAACTTTTTGTTTTGCGATATATTGCCCCAGAAATAATTGCGATAAGTGATATTATTGTCATTTTAAAGACCATTTTATGCCACTGAATATATAATCATAATGTAACAGCATAATAATGCAAGAAGGCCTACACACTTCCAAATGACAACAAACTTTTAATTTTTAAGAATATTTAGATCATGGAAATTAGAATCAAAATATTAGATACCTTAAAAAAACCTGAATAAATAGTAAATAAAAAAATTCTAATAAAAAGTGCAAAGTAACAAGTAGAAAAAAAGAAAAATGCAAAAAAAAAAACTTGTATGGAGATTTTTCCATCTACAGATTTTCCCTGACCTTCTTTTCTCTGTAAATTAAGGGTGCACA